TCGTCAGTGCCAGCGAGAGGACGTAGAGCCGCCCGGCGTTGCGCGCCACGCGAGCGAGGAGCCGCCCGTCCGGATTCCGGAGGCGAAGGACCCCGTCGTGGATCACCGTCTCGCAGCCGAGCTCATCCATCTGACCAGTGCTCAAAATATTGCTGCACAGACGTGGTATGTAATATACCTCAGAGAGCGTCAGATGTTCACCGCTGCGACACTTGAAGAGGATCGTTTCTCTCCCCTCGATCTGCACACTGGACCCGTCGCCGAGCTTCACAGTCCCCCACGCTCCCACGTCGAGCTCGGAGAAGATATCGCGGCGTCCGGACATGTAGTTGCTTGCCCCGATGTCCAAATACCAGGAGGTGTCGCAGTTGCCGCCTTCCTGTGCAGCGCGCGCCTGGGAGCGTTCTTCGTTGAGAAGAACCCGCTCAACCGGGCGCTCGGCGGTGACAGTGAGCGCGGTGACCGTGGCGAGCAGAAGTGCCGCCTCGTCGTCCTGGTTACCCGCGACCGCAAGGTTCGCATGATCCTTGCGTTCACGACGCGGCTCGGTGCAGTGCTTCGAGAAATGCCCAGGTTTGTTGCAGTGGTAGCACTTCACCTGAGACATGTCGCGTTCCCCGTTCGGCGCGCCGTCGCGGCCGCCGTTTCCGCCGCCGCCCTGACCGCCGCCCCGACGAGGCTTGCCGCGACGACGATTCGAGCCGCCGCCTTGTCCACCGGATCCGCTTGGCCCGCCGGAGCCACCATGGCCGCCACTCTGGCTGCCGCCCTGGCCTTGGACGCGCTGGTTCTTGCGCGCGTTCCACTGCGCCTCTGTCATCAGGAGCTGGGGCCCGCTGCCTCCACCTTGATCGTTGGTGAGATAGCGCTCATCCGCGGAGCGCAGACGGCCGACGAGCTCCTCAACTGAGAGCGTGTTGAGGTCGAGCATCGTCTCGATGGCGAGGGCGATCTGCATGTAGCGAGGCGGGACGACGCGTAGGAACTTCTGTACCACTCTCACCTCGTCCATGGTGTCGCCGAGCGAGCGCAGATTGTTGACGAGCGAGGTGATCCGCATGCCGAACGCGTCGAGCGTCTCGCCGTCGCGGAACGTGATCCCCTCGAACTCGGAGCGCAGCCGTTGCGCCGTGGCCTCTCGCACGCGCGCGACTCCCATCCGCATGGTTTTGATCGTATCCCATGCCTCCTTCGCGGTCTTCTTCACCACGATCGTGCCCACCATCTCCGGCGGAATGGATCGCAGGATGGCCGCCAGCGCCGACTTGTTGTTGGGGACGCTCGACGGGTTTCCTTCCACCGCGTCCCACATCAAGTTTGCCTCCATGTTGATCTACATCAGCATAGACCACTCGAAGTAGTTTGTCGGCGTGAGCATCGGCCACACCGTGGTGCCGCTCGGGACGAGGCACTCCTGGACCGTGCGCTCGTGGACGACGACCTCCTTGCCGTACCGGCGGGTGCGGCTGCGACCGCGGCTACGACCGCGATCGGGGGTCGGCGAGCGCGCGCCACCGCTACCGCTGCCGTCGCCCTGGTGGGCTGCAGTACGCGCCGCTGCCGAGTTCGCCGGAGAGGTCGAGCCGGCCATGGTCACCGAGGAACAACGCGGCTCTGATGCCATTTGTTGGAACCTAGAGCACCGAAGAGGCCTAGATCACTATCGCAAGGAGAACCAGAGGTAGACGAAGACATGGGAGTTTTTGTGCTGCGCACAGTCTGCAGCTTTTTCTCATTAATCTCCAGATTATTTGTACAT